AATGAAAAAATAAACAAATAATTAACATACCCATTTTAAACAATAAACTATACTTATTTATTAAAGGATTTTATCGTCATTTTTCAACCTTACAAGTCCCAAACGTCAATTTTCTCATGACCCAACAAGGGGGATAACATAAATACCAAATTGATAATAATGCACTCGGTAATATGTGGATATTGCAACTTTCGCCTGACAAAATAGAGACTAGAGGAAAGATGCTTTACTATTATTATTACTACTACTACGTGTAGATGTCGAACGACAAAATATTCCCTGCACTGCAGAAAATTTACATAGAGAGCGAAGAGGGAAGTTTGACCGGGCCAAAGGGAAATTTTAACGAGGGTTATATTAGACGAAATGCTTTGAAGTGTTTCATTGGTATTCCATAAAGAGTTGCAACTCTCTTATTGTGTTCCATACATCAGTAGTTATTTTACACATTACCTATATTTCATTGATGTCGCACTTGATAGATTATAAATAATTATGTGTTACTTCGAAAATTTCAAAAATTATTAGGTTCTTATCTACTTATATCTAAAGGTCAACTAGTTCATGAACTATAACCGTGCAAGTTAATATGTTGTTGATCTCGCATGAACTAAAAAAAAATTAAATAAACTACGAACAAAAGAAAATCAACATCCTAAAAAACAAATTTAATTTATGATAGTTTATAGGAAGTTTTATCGTATAAGTAGACGTGATAGCAATAAATTGATGGATTTAAGAAAAAAAAAATCGGGAAACATTTTTTTCTTTTTCGCTCCCTACGTTCCTTTCATTCTTCGCTCGAACGTTCATTCCCTAAAATGACGACGTTTAAAAACGGAAATAACTCTTCAGAATCAGTTTCCTGTGCTGTTGCCACAATGTTAATAAAACAGTATCCACACAGAATATTGTAATGTAATGTAAATACAGAAATTGTACATCATAGATTATTGTAATTTACTATGGTAAAAGCAGTATTTATATCTAGAGCTTACCCTTGACTTGTCCTTGAATTATATCGTTTGAAGGACAAGGACATAATAAAGAAGCCTACGCATCTATTGGCAAGCTTCCCAATAGATAGCTAATATTGTTTATAGGATTAAAAGATACTACTTACTCCTAAGTACTAGTACTAACCTGTGACTTCGTCCGCTCGTTCGGGGATATTAGTTGATAAACCGGATTAAAAAGCTTTGTATCCGTTTTCAAATCAAATACTCTGTTAGATATTGTTTATGCAACTTAGAATGGTTAACAAGTTTATGGCCTACCTGATGAAAAGTGGTGACCGTCGCCTATAGACATAAACAGCACCATGGATAATCGAGAATATATTGTGATGCCCATGGTACGCCTATTATGAACGGATAATACGTATTACATCTTGTTCCTACTATTCAAAGCAGACGTTATCACAAACCTAACCTAACCTAACCTACCTATCACAAAATCTTAGATTTCGATCCACAAGTATAAAAAAAATGCAATAGAAGTGACAATCTCTACCTTCTATAAGTCTAGTAAACGCATTATTTCAGAACGTATGGGTGCATCGACATAGCTAATTGTTTTTATTAAAAAACAGGCCGTAACATTATGAAATGGCCTAGGCCGTGACGCATTTCCTTAGCCTTTCTTTAACCTTCCAATGTTAGAAGTGCTTAAAACAGCGTGAACAAGCACTTAGTGAACCAGTGGCCAACCGTTTAGAGTAGAATTCTTCTGTGATTGCAATCATGAAACATGTTGTCCCTGTGTTCGCACAAAAGGGTGTCGCTGTGGTCATATGTCATGCTAAAATAACAAAATACGTGCTTAAAAATGTTCCATATTACAAATTATTTGGATTTCTAATTATCATGTTCGTATTATATATTAAATGTTAGTATATTTTGTTTATGTACATATTGTTAATATTTACATTCTGTATAATTCTTTGAAGGGAACAGAAATTATAATAATAAGTTTATTTCAAAATAAATGGTACAAACATCTTTAAACTTAGGTGAAACCCTGCAGTAAAAGTAAACAGTTCCCATTCATTCATTCGTATTAATTTAATTGAGGTTTTTAGGAAAAAAATGATTGGAATGCCACAAGTCAGTTAGTAGTGATCATGTATGAAATAAATAGGATGTTTATTAGTCCCATGTTAAATATTTATAATGTCTAATTTTGGAATCATATACAATTATGAGACATTATGAATATTGTAGGTAGATGCCACCTTTATTATCTCATTATTAATGCGTGAGCTAGCAAGGTTATTGGGTTGTTGATATTACTGTAGGTTGTTGGTTCCGTATCATGTACGTATGAACTCTGAACTGGTGCTATTATTACATAGCTGTATGTTATTCTGTCTTATCGATGAATATTTTGCGTGTAGTAAATTGTATCTTTTATTTATTATTGTTAATACTATAGATATGTACGTCATATTAAATATGTCAATATATTTTAAATTTCTTTTATTTGCGTGTTGAATTTTAATTGAAAGAATAAAGAAATAATTTTATTCAAATAAACTTAAATTAAGCATTTTTGAATAATTATTATTATTAAATATTTATTTGTTTTCAACATAGGCTAATTATATTTTTTTAAATAATTATAGTTTTATTTTTTTAAATTGTCGATATAGATAATTTAAGGATAATATCCAAATTATATAAAATGAAATATTATATACTCCTGTTTATTCTTAAACTAAAATAAGCTAAAACTAAACAAGTGATTAAATATTTTTAAATATATTCTAAATACCTACTCGTGAATATAAATATTTATATTTTGCGAGCATCGAACTCGCGACAAACATACGAGGAAGCTGTGTGTTAAACCATTACACATACTAGTAGTGAAAATTAGAAGGAAAACAAATATACAAACTTTTCAATAATTTCACTCTGCTATAGCTTCAGTGCTAAAATAGAAAACAAGGTAATAACCTCCCTATGGTAGGGCGGTAAATTAAGGTAACCCAATGTAATAAAAAATAAACATTCCGTACATTTGGGGGCGCCATTGAGCCGAACAATAACTAAAGTTATTGTTCCTATGGGACGAAGGAAGCAACCTACTTTCATTGAGAGGGTTATGACCCCTACAGAAATGCCACTTCATAATGCAAGCCTTGCGTTAATAAATAAATCAATTAACCGAAAATATAATATCCTTATTTTGTATTAGATATTTTCTAGTGTTTTTAAAAATGTTCATAACTTTAGCTTGACGAGGAGTGACAACGTCGTAATTGACTGTTAATTCTTTTTTCTTTTTTTTTTTATACAACTTAAAATGGCAAACAAGCTGACGGCCCACCTGATGGAAAGTGGTAACCATCGCCTATAGACATGAGTAGTACAATGGACATAACAGAGTATACTGTTTCGCTCATGACACCCCCATGCGTTGCCATTCCTGAGGACTCAGGTGTTATTCTTCTGTACCCAGTAAATTCATTGCCATATCCCACCCTTCAAACCGAAATAGCCATGCAAACACAACTGCTTCACGGTTGAAACACGAATAGGACAGAGTACCCAAGCAATCGACTTTTTACAAATCAATTTCATATAATATTTTGATAGATTATTTTAAAACTGGTCTCTGTCTGTACAATAATACATAGCAAAAAAGTGGTTAAAAAATTTCAAAGCAAAATTAGCAAAGTTTTTAGTGATACACAAACGTACAGTTATATATATATATATATATATATATATATATATATATATATATATATATATATATATATATATATATATATATATATATATATATATATATATATATATATATATATAACTTAGAAACTATGAATCTGATCTTATAATGTATTATATAAAAATTCTGATTGTTTCATATAATATTATATGTGATTTTATATATGATTATTTAGATTGATATAACTATTTATGAACTGATTGAAATAAAGTAAACGCTAAAAGTTAAGTGGAGCAAACCGCAATGCAATAGTGAAAGCCGCATTCAAATCCGTTAAGTTGTTTCTAAGATTAGCGTACACAAACGTACAGACAAAAGATCTCGGTTCAATGCATTGTACAGACAGAGACCAGTTACGACTTTATTATATGAATTGATTAAAGTTTTAATTCGTAAGCAGAGTACTTTTTAAACAATTAGTCAGTACATTTAAAATTCTTTAATATATTTTGAAAGTTGACAGTTAATTACGATGTTGCCACACTTTTATAAGCTAAACTTATGTACACTTTTAATATAAACTAGTTACCTATCTAGGTACCAACGTATATATATATATATAGTTATAGTTATATATATAGACAAAAACATAGCTGTCAAAAATATGGTTTGTCTGTATATGAATTTTTGTTGAAATCCATTCAGACGTTTAGGCGTGATTGAGTAACAATAAAAACCATTCAAATGTATTTACAAACTTTTATATTATGCCTTATACCTAAGTAGGTACAGTACTTTAGTATTATAACTGCTATCGAAAGGATATTCAATTTTTTTTTCTCTTTGTTTCAGTGCTCGGCACATGTCAAACAAGCTTTCAAGTAGCTAAAAGCGCGCTACCATATCAGAGATCTAAAGTGTTCCTGTCGAGCCACAGCTGCAGGTGGAGCACAGTAGGCCCGAGCATGTACCTCGTGTCGCTTGAAATGCACCGACGTTGAGGCGACACACTCGGGCTGTGGCACACCCGTGCCCGCATCAGTACGCCTCCGGCTGGCGCCGAGCAACGATAACCGGCCTCGTCTTGGCTGCCAAGTTTCGATTTTATCCGCGCTCTCACTTCACTTCGTAGTCGCACGTCTGGTGTTGCATACGCTTCTGTGCGAGACGTTGAGTGATATGTTCGACCTCTTCGAACTGGCTGCGTACAAACAATTCGAAATTCAAATGTGATGTGCATTTGACATGACGCGTGTCTCCGCATAAATAAATACCGAGAAAGTATAAAAATTGTGTATTAAAATAGACAGTGTAGTGGAACTAGTGCAATATGACTTCACGATCTAAGGAGAAGGTTGCTGCTGCATTCAGAAAGCTTTTCCGTTCCCCAGAGAAGCTCGATAACGATGGAGCCGGTCCTAGCGGCTCTCCAGCCAGGCGAGGGCTTCTTCGACGTCATAGGTAATTTAGATATATTTTAATTAATATCAGAATTAGGTCAGTTCACTGCAAAATGTTCTAAATTCTTGTAGTATTTAATTTAAAGTTTCTTTAATAAGTTAAACGTGGAAATGCAAAATAGTTTGCTTGCTGGATATAAAAGCAATATGAGATGTCGTAACGGATGTTTTGTGATATTTGATAACAGTAGCGAACAGTCACGTACACCAATCATGTTTATTAGCAATGAGTGTTAGTTGTACTAAGTTGGTGGCCAACGCGAAAAATATTGTTACATCAGCATCTATAGAATATTAGATGATTTCCATAGTTGTGCGTCCGTATTTAATAAAGTATAACATATAACAGCATAATTGTCATATAAGCTACCCGTGTACCATATTACATTCAAATCTGATCAGCCGTTAAGGCGTGATTAAGTATCTAACATTCAAACAAATAAACTGCTTAACAAACTTTTATTTTTGTATAAAAATTGGTTATTAAAATATTTTTAGACAATACGCCAGATTTCCTATTAGTAACTTGAATAGATGCTTATTTTTTGACAAATCATTATTATATATTATATATAATCATTAATATATAATTATTATCTTCTATTGTTTATTGAATATGAATAATTAAATTAGGTATATGTCACAAGACTGATTAAATCACTCTTCAAAACTGGGTAGAAGGTACAGGGATCTTAGATTACCTAAGATACAATACTAAGGCAGCATGACTGAGAAGGAGAATGAAATAAAGCCCTAGCAATGCAGTTGACTAATATGAGTAAAATTAATGGCATTTAGATTAGAAATAAGTAATCATAACTGCGAATATAAGTACCAAACCAAACATAACATCAAACACATACCTACATTAAACATCTATAGTGTAATCACTATCAGTTACGTATTTGAAAGACGTTGTCAATACCTATTGTTGTCCCTCTTATTATTTTCTCCATTACAACTCCTATCATATTAACAAATACCTTGCAAAAACTGTTAGATACTACTAGTATTCCGAAATACTTTTACAATTTTGCAATATTCTTTTAAGAGCAATTAATGATAATTACTTAAGATTTTGTTTCATAAATAAACCGACATCAAACAAAATTGTTTCGATAAAAAAATCATCAAAATCGGTTTAAAATTGGCGAAGATAATATCACACGTTAATAATTTAACATACACGAAATGTGTGATTCGTACCTAACTAAATATAACATATGCCTAATGACAACTATAACCACAGTATAAGTGGTATGCCATAACAATAAAAACGTTAAAGACCTCACTTCCCTCCTTCAACGAGAAAAATAAAATAAAGGATTTTTTTATGCACAAAGTAAATTATTTTAAATGCACGTGAATAAACGGACATAAAACTATTTTATGATTCTTAAAAAAGTTCCTGCATACTGAACAAGTAGTTAGGTATGTTCGTCACCGACCAATTAAAGTACATTTTTATTCTTTGACATTTAAATCATACAGAAATAGACTCAAATAATAAAAACAAATATAGTCTTATATAATAAAATCCTGTGCCGCTACTCAATTTTAATGATTTGTAAATGTTTATTGTTTACTTCAACTTAACAGATAGGATACATATTTTTATGCCATTAAGTAATTAGAATAAGTTGGTTAATGGCACCCCTATCGCCATCTAAAAAAAAACAATATTTAATGGGTCAAATAACTAGTAAATGTAATGTCAATATAGCTAACTGATATAAAATTTACACAATTTGGTGTATTCTATTGTTTATTATTTATTAGTAGATATAATAAAATAGTCTTAACATTTCAACCCATCGATCGCTATAGGTACCCTAAATGATAATGAATGAATGGTAATGAAAGTTTTTAATAAACAATCAATTGATTATACAACCCAGGTGTTCAAATAATCTATTTAGGTTGTTACTTATTTATAGATTTGAATAATACGGTAACGTTATGATGCGTATGCCTTCTATGATAGATACCTATTAATGATTCAATTAGTATTAAGATCAAGGCCATCAATACGCCAGCCGAAACACGCACACGCATATTTACAATACCTACTACCTATTGCTATTAAGGTCAATATTAATTATCGTGTGTTATATATATGGTACCTTACCTATATACAGGTAGCAATTAGAATTTGCTTGTTGCCTAATATAATGTGTCAATGCCGCCTAAAACTTGGCTAGACACACTGTTAGATACGATGTTAGTTTTTCGACATAGACACTTCGATTTTTATTATACGACTTCATGAAACTATAAAAACCAAAAAAACCGAAAGCAGGTGAACAAAATTCGTAGTATAAATAATTCTTCGTAGCGCCCTAAAAACCTTTAGCGCGTTCTACTTTAGCGAATTCTGTAGAAATGTAATAATGAGCATTCCGTGAGTGATTCAAGGAAGTGAAAAACTGAAGCTGCGTCATTACGTATCTGTATCAGTATCAGAGACAAAGACATTGTTTGCATATGCAGAGTTATGTGGTTTTTGCATTGTTGCTAACGTACAGTCGCAAGAAATGACGTATCTATTTACAATATTGCGCTAGTGTAACAAAGACATTACGACAATACAAGCATTTCGTTTTATTGCTCTTAATTACCAATAATGTAATAAATAATAATAACAGCTAATTATAAATATGAGTAGTCTATTATTTAATATATATTTAGTTTATGAATATTAGGTACAGGTCAAATTAATACTTACTTTAATAATGTTGCAATTATATTCCTTAATTACTCTTATTGTAGATCGTTTCTTTACAGGACTCACGTGCTTTAGCCAAATAGCGCTTCTTTCTTTCTTATTAAATTAACAATATTTATATAATATTAATAATTTTTTACTGTAAACATTATGTTTATATATCTTATAGGAAATTTTATTTAATATTGTCCTCGTTAATAAAATTTTGTGTTAATGACCTTTTATAAATTAACAGACGAAATAGGTTACCAATAAAATAAAATATCGTCGATACGGCCATGTTCCTATGATTATTAATTAGTAGTTATTTTTTTATTCTAAAGTTTGCTTTTAATTAAGCAATAAACTAAACACATACATTCACACTCTTGTGTGTTATCATGTGCAGCATTCTGTACCTTGATTTCGTAAAGAAATGGAAAAATAAATAAAAGGACTTCGATATTTCAAGAATATTTAAATAATGTGTTAACAAAATATTTTTTCTTCCATATATGGGCAAAATAATCTTCTTCACAAGTATGAAATAGGATATTACTTGTATTACCAATACTACTTTAATTGAAACACCACTCTCCTAGAGCGAAAATAATAAATTCGCATAATACTCGTAACATATGGCAAACATGTGTTATCATGTGCAGAAAAAATAATCTTCCATTTTGTGTAACAATCGTTTATTTCTCGGAAAATACAACCTGGTACGAAGTTACAGCAATCTGAAAGCAAGTAATCATTAATCGATTCTTTTTTTTTAGCTTTTTTACATCATTTTCTTTTGAATGTCAGTAATACTCGTTAAACTCATTAAAAATATATTATTATATTCAATTTTGAACCGATTTTGTTAAAATTTCTGTGGGACCAATCTGTAAATATATTCTTCTTTTATCTAAAAGGATATCCTTTATTGATATGATTTAAAAATGTTACTATTGAATCGATTTTGATAAAATCTCTATGAGAATAATCTGTATGTATATTCTTCTTTTATCTGAAAGGATGTCCTTTATTGATATGATTTTAAAAATAAACTACTGAATTGATTTTGGTCAAATTTCTGTGGGACTAATCCATAAGTATATTCTTCTTTTATCTAAAAGGATATCCTTTATTGATATGATTTAAAAATTAAACTATTGAACCAATTTTGATAAAATTTCTATGGGACCAATCTGTAAGTATATTCTTCTTTTACCTGAAAGGATATCCTTTATTGATATGATTTAAAAATTAAACTATTGAACCGATTTTGATAAAATTTCTATGGGACCAATCCCGAGTAGTATGGTATGGTAAGTATATTCTTCTTTTATCTAAAAGGATATCCTTTTGATAAAAGAATTATTCAACAAAGATAAAAAAATCAATCGAATTGACAACCTCCTTCTTTTTGAAGTCGGTCGAAAATTCGTAGGTGTTATTTGAAACTATATTCGAGGTACTCTACTAAGATTGATTGCACTAACCCTGAGAATTGCGTCTCACGTTATTGTAATGTTGGGGCATGTCGGGGATAATGGTGTTCCATTTGTATAGATATGTAGTGCGCCATACAGCACATAAACCAACGGACTGTAAATTTGTTTGTATATTATTATATACACCTTCTAGATTAATTTATTTCCTAGTTCTTAACATCTAATATTTATAAATCGAATAAAGTATGTATATAACCTCGCGAGCGACTCTACTTTCATAGGTATACGTAGTACTTTGGGATGCAAGAGGGCATTAAGTAGGTATCAATCAGTATATATTATGGTCACAGAGATAAAATAAAACCAAATTTTTATACAAACTACCTTCTGCAAGCACAGATGTGTCAAACAGTAGCCGCGTAATTTATGTTTTTCATTTAAATTGCATAATATCTTTGTTAGCCTTATCACAATTTTAGCGTTATTGAAACGTAAATATAGAGCTAGTAAAAGTTAAAGTAGCTATTGTAAATCGTCTCTTGAAAATTATTTTACACGCAGTATCACCTAACCTGACTTTATCTTCGTCTATCATACCTCCTTGGTATCCGGCTATTTTCATGCAATAAAAAAAATTATGTAAGCACTAAGTAGTAGCATTAAGAGTATGTATATGTAATACGTACTTCCAATTCCTAAATTAAAATTAATTATTTAAAACCGCTTACCTATATCTTTTGTTAAAGAAATTTTACTGTATTATGATTAAAGGAAGTCAAGAAAATGTAGGTAAGTACTAACCAACTAACCCAATTTCAAAAATAGCTCGCGCTTCACTTTACTTGGCAAGTGGGCAGTAAGATTTTGTATTTTAAAAAGAGAACCAGTGAAAATATATCAGTGTCAGTAGGTAAGAGCTAAGCATTTTTTCGAAATTTCGACACATGCAAAAATAAAATATGTAGCTATGTCAATAGGAATTGGGAGCTATCCCTGCTCTTTTGAGAACAGACTCGACTCAACAGTAAAATGTTTGTTGATAAAAATAATGAGTAGAATACTATAATCAAGTAAGACTTATTTATTATTATAAATAATTTATATATAAATAACTCTTACTAGATAAAGTAGATAAATTCATCTATCTGTATATAGAATAACTCCAAATGATTATAGAATTAAATCGTTTTTATACGAGTAGTATTTTTAAAATCTAAACAGGCCTATTCTAATTAATTTAAAAAGACTTAGTTCAATAGAAATAAAACAATCGAAATATAATTGAAAGTGTAGAAGAATATAGAATGCTTATAATACATAAACACAAATAATGGTAAAAGGTGTGAAGAATGAAAATTAAAGGATATCATCATCATTCTTTTAGTATGTAACCACTATAGAGCAATTTTGATATTCATTATATTTGCAAATTTTCTCTCTTGTATTTATTTACTACTTTAATTTCAATGAATCACACCACTACTAAATAGCGTATGAACATAAAACATACAACAGATTTTAAATTAGACCTTACGAGAAATGACTGTGAAATTCGCATCCAATTTGGTATAGTTTTCACGTAATGGCAGAACAAAAATTGCCTACCTATATGTTTGTATTATTATTTTATATTGCTCTTAGGATTCCCCACATTAATTTTTCTTAAATTTTCATAATGGACAGACATCGTCCAGTTACAAATATATCATTATAAATAGACTTAGCCATATCAGTAGCACAAACACATACAAAACACATACAACAAACATTATATAAACTTAATGTAGTGTTTGTATTAATTATTGATATGCACGACATTCAGTTATCTTATATAATACTTACATACCTATACGTAATATTAATAAATTGATAATAAGTATTATCTCGTTGATTCGACATAATAAGATCAGTGCAATGTAGCTATGTACAGTTAATGTATTGGAAGTTGTTTGCATAATCTATTTTGCATAAATCTCCCGCAAGTCAACGACCCGTCCAAATGTTTTACACCCGTCGTCTTGCCGTATTCCTTTGGATACAATCCAACCGCAAGGTTTGTAATAAGAGAACATTATTTACGACCTATTTTCACTCGTGGATTGATGAAATAATTACATGTGACTCCGCTGACTACCGGTTGAGTACTCCAGTAAATAAATACATCAGGAAATGGCCCAGTGTGCCCAATCTGAATATATTTATATGTATCTCGAAGATAACCTGAATATTGTCATTAGTTGCCACTTTTGGCAGACGGATTGGGAACTGCATTTAGGCTTTGGAGATGTTTTAAGAGGGGCACTACTGCCCGTTTCTTGCTCTCCCTAAGTCGCCGGGAGGTTAGAAATGGGAAAGTTAGTTGGAAACCATCGTGACAAATTTATAGTTGAATTCGTCACCATGGGCTAAGTGACTTTTCATCCTCACCAATCATTCGTAACTGGTGCCCTACCAGTGTATACCGATAAAGCAGGCGGGGTTACCATTCCATTATTATCCATTAAAAACGGTCCTTGGTCATCTTTTATGACACCTACGGGAAAAAAGGGGTGATCTTTTCTATGTCAGAACCACACGGTATGATATATGAATACCTAAATATATTGGTCATAAAATATTATTCTTGTTCTAATCGATTTTTACTTTGGATGACTAAGTATCATTATCAACTAATTTGCAGTTAATAGTTTATAATTATTATCGTTAACTGTCATATTTATATTTAATAAGATCTCAATAATTTCTCTAATTCATTAAATTATTATTACTTAATTCTCAATTTTTTACTAATTTATTTTTAATAAAGTTTATGTCACTAATTTTAATAATTTTCAATACATGAAGCTGGTTAATAGAATATTTTTTTACACCTAAGAAATTCGAAGTAAGCAATCCGAAAACACTTAATTTATTTTTATATAAGAAACTAATTAAGCACTATGTTAATCTAACTGTGCAAATAAGAAAATTGAATTAGAAAATATTTAATTACTATTATACACTAATACACAATTGATATATGTAACTTAACATTGATAGATTACAGCGGTCTGTGGTTTGACCACTGTTGCTTGTGTAAATTTATAAAACATCTACAAATAGGTAGGTATGTACTCAAGTCTATTTACGTTATACTTTATGATTAAAAATAACGTTACGTACTTTACATAAACTATACTTATCTCAAGTTATGAACTTGCTTATTACATAATAAAAACGACAACTTGTTAATAACAACTTGATATTGTTTTGCACGTAGGATTATTGATTAGTAGATAGAGTAGATGTACCACTTAAAATCTAAATTATACTTGCTTGTTAATATTATAAATATAAATTTGTTATTAAAGCGCCAAAAGGTAACACCTTTTGCCACTTTAATAGCTTAATCAAACTTCATATTTGGTAACACATACTTAGTACCTACTTGTAACTGAGAGGGACATAAGCTACTTTTTCTCCCAGTTATTTTAGACACCAAGTCATTCAAACGACGTCGCAAATAATCTACCAGTATCTAAATAAATTAGAATAAAGATCCAGTCCGCACAATATTATGTGCCTATGATACAAATGGTGCAAACGACCTTACTTACTTAAGCACAATGCATTCATTCTGAATACATAAATAGCTGTTATAGCCATTTAAAGTGCGCAATGTAAGTACTTATAATCTATCTTGTTTGCAATAAAAGGCATAAATAAAATGTTAACAATTTTATGTTAATGGTAAATTAACAGAGCTACATTACCTATCAGATTGCAATTATAGTATTTTTGTGTGGCTGGTCCTCGCTCAAACTCTGAAATTTTGCTGTATCCTATCTACACATGTAAATCAGAAAATGCAGAGAGTACCTAAATCTATATAATAATCTATAATAATAATAATTTTATTTGGTATGATTCTGAACTTCTGGCTTCTGGGTGGGAACATTTGATCTTATTAATTAAAAGTACCTTACAAAATCTACTTAAGTCAAGCGTACAAATATTGAAAACAAAAAGTATAATAATTTAATTTTAAATTTTTTGTAACATTTAAACATTACGAAATTATATAACATTAATTAAAATATTAATGAATAAAATACAATTTATTCAGTCAATTACATTAAATAGTTAAAATAAATAATATAACAATTGGATATCGAATGGTCAACAATAAAAATGAGATGTACTAATAGAAATAAAAATGTCAAAAAGTAAGATTTGTATTAAATGAACGATAATACGTACAAATTTCCACCATTTTAATCTGACATGAAATCCCTAACAGAGTAAAAACACGATTCAACTAGCCATTTATGCAATTTGTTTTAAATGTCTTTCCAGTCTAATGAAAAAGAAAAACAAAAATGTAATTTCTGACACAGAAGACATATTTGTTTAATTAGTAAAAATGAATTGATAACTCCGCCTGTGTTAACAGTAAACGCTGGTGCCCATCAGTGAGAGATGACAGGTGAGGATAAAAACAGGTCAGTTAGTTCTTTTGGAATTCATCACGGTGGTTTCCAGGGGGAACCCCTTGCGCGTCAACCTGATAGGGTAGGTATATTGTTAGCAATGAGGCAGTTAAACCCTATTAGTAACAATCCCTTTTTCCCAGAAGACACAAGTTAAGTAGGTAACTAACGTTAAGTTAAAATAAGTAGTAACCTGAGAACCATATTACTAATCGTACAGACACTAACATTATACGATTTAAAGAGTAGTTAGTTACAAAAAAGCGTCATAGGTCCCATAGCATATTCTGTTAATTATCCATTTTATATAAGATCACGATTATCACTTCCTAAAGAAAGATTATTTCAAATCGTTTGCCAATTTTGCCGTTCCCAGTAGAATATTAAAATTGAATAAAGACTCAAACTGGACACTGGCTGAAACTGGTTTTTTCTTTGGAATGCAGTTGTGCGATTCCCACGGTGGGTGGACACATAAGCATTTGTGACTCAGGTTGTTATTACATTCTAAAATACCTACCTAAAGACTTCTGCGCCTTGATAACGTCAGAAATTAGTCAATATTCGAAAGTTAACTGGTTGGAGTTGAGTAACTAATTTAGATGAATATCTAAATGTCCTTAAAAACTTTGAGTTTAACCTGTATTATTTATTTGGAATTAAATTCCCTACATATAAACAAAGCACATTACATTTACTAGGTATTTACTACATTTTTGGTAATAGTTACCTGTAATTTAACATCATATAATTGCATAAAGATTCACAACGATGCAACTTTGTAGTTAAATGTCTAGTAATTACAATTACCTACGTATTATTAACTTTCACTCAATAAGACATAGTTTATTTGTCGTGGCCATATACCTCCTTTTTGAAGTCTGGTAAAAATTTGAAAAAGGCACCCGAACCATAAGCAATGTTGCACACATTCATTTTATGTACATACTTTATGTACAGAGACGGCGTGAGTCCAGCAGAAGCAGCAGCGAGCTTGCCACCTAGTCCTGGCGCCACAGGACTAGTAAAGAAGAAGGCAGCTGGGGCCAACGAGGTTCGAGAGCGTGCTGCTGCGGTCCGCACACGCAGACTCATGAAAGAGCTTAAAGAAATACAGCGATTGCAGGACAGCAGGCCTGATCCTGTATTTACGGTGTGTACTGATTTTATTTTTAACTAACTTTTGCCCACAACATGAATTTTGGAAGTAATAGTAGTAAACAGTACCTACTTCTCGACGAATAATAATGATGTACATTTATCGATATATTTTTTTTTTACTTTCAGGTGGAATTAGTGAATGATAATCTTTTCGAGTGGCATGTGAGACTGCATCAGATAGACCCTGAGAGTGAGCTAGCTGGAGACCTTCGCGAACTGCATATATCTCATATTCTGCTACACCTCATATTTCCAGAGAATTTTCCGTTTGCCCCGCCTTTCATGAGAGTAATTGAACCTAGGATAGAGAAAGGCTTCGTTATGGAAGGTGAATATACTCTTTAGTTCTTCTAGTTTAGTCTGTATCAACAGAAAATATTTATACCACTGAAGTGACAAATGAGCATGTGGTGGTAAGTTGTTGCCGTAACCTAAGAACACATACAATACCAGGGGCATTACGCGCGCATTGCCAACCCAAGAAATTTGTTTAACCCTTTTTTCAAGAAACCCATTCTGTAGTGTATAAGAAAAGCTTTGAGAATTTAATGAAAATATAAACAAATTAACATTTGAACTAACATAATAGTTACTGTTACTGATTTATAGCAGTCTGCTGATTTTCATTTGTCATTAGCATATTTAAGAATTTTTTTTTCTTTAAAAAGGATGCGTATAACTCTCAGGCACGTCTTTGCACATTAGATGAAATTAAAAATTACTGAAAATTTATATCGATTTCAACATAAACATTTAGTCAAAATAATTTGTTTCTTTACTCTCAGGAGGAGCAATCTGTATGGAGCTGCTGACACCTCGCGGCTGGGCGTCAGCGTATACAGTAGAAGCCGTAGTGATGCAGTTCGCCGCGTCAGTGGTGAAGGGCCAGGGACGAGTAGCGCGGGCACCGCCGAGACCTTCCCGCGAGTTCTCCCGCCGTCGAGCGGAGGAAGCCTTTCGCTCCCTCGTCAAGACACACGATAAATATGGCTGGGTGACGCCAGCCCTGTCCGATGGTTGAATCGGCATGGTTCGTACAACATTGACATCATTAATATTATAATTAGTTATAGTGAGATATCTACCTACTTATCAAAATATCCAACTGAATAAATTGATCCTCATATAAAGGAATATCAATTTTTATCGGAAGTCTAAAGTGTGGACTAGAAATATTTCTTATTTATATATATCTGAATGTAAAAGATCAAATATTGCTAATTCAGAAAAATGCCAATTACGGAACATACGATATTTAGGTATCATAAAATTTAACCTAGTTCCATTTTACCCTCTATCTTAGCCCTGGGTGTCGTAAAAGACGGCTAAGGGAACTAAATGGTTAAGGGATGGGCAGCAGCGTCCCTCTTAAAACATCATCAAAGCTTAACTGCGGTTGCCACCCTGCCAAGATTGGCAACTACTGATAAAACCATCCTATGGTAGGCCTATGTTCAGCAGTGGACAATTAACGACTGATATAATAACAATAAGAGATTAAATATTGTTGAAGTATAGTTTATTGTGAACTTTATATAGCAACCCTAACTTTGTTTATGGTATTATAAAATAAAAAAAAAAAAACTTCTTGTGTGTCAATGACAGAACTGAAAAAGGTTGTTTTTTTTATTTCTCTTCTCCATCGTTAATAATCCATTTAGTTGACTTGTAATAACATATTTATTTGACGTGTAATAACAATAATAATCATAACAGGTTATGGCCCAGCCTGATTTTCCATTTATATGGTATTGTAATTATTCGTACAAAACTAGAACAATTTCCACAAGTCACAGCCGCCATTTTTTTTTTCCGGTTGAAAGTTTTTTGTTCAGAACTTCTTGAGGTACTTGTCAATAATGTCTGTGCGATTAGATAAAATCACAGTGGACAAGTTGGAGGGTGAAGGTAATTGGATTTCATGGAAATTCGATATCAACTTACAAATAACCCTACATGGAGTTGAGGACCATGTGACCGGTGTAGCGCAACAACCAAAAGATGGAGAAGAACCAAAGTCTTTCAAATTATACCATGAAAAGGAATCAATTGCAAGGTATTTAATAGGTTCAACAGTAGGCAGAGAGCCGAAACAGCACATTTTAACCTGCAAAAGTGCGAAAGAAATGTGGGATACTCTTCATGCTGTGTATGAACAGAAAAATGAAAGAAGACTGGATCTTTTGTACTGCGAGCTATTTACGTATAAAAAGTTACCAGAGGACAGTATAGCTACGCATGTCTCTAAGTTACAAAGACTGTATACTCAATTAAACTTAGAATTGAAAAATGAAGGCAGTACTTTGCCTCAGTCCTTACTTTTAAACAGAATACTGAATACATTGCCTGTTAACTATCTTGAGTTCAAAAATGCATGGGAATCTGTCCCTGCATCGGATAGAAATGTAACCACATTAATGGAACGTCTTCGCTTACATGAGCAAAGATTGAATGAAAGCAAACCTGAAAGTGAAGTCGCTCTAGTTGCAAAAACTGAAAAGCGTATATATAATAAAGGTCCAGTTTGTAATTATTGTAAAAGAAAAGGACATATCAAAAAACATTGTTTTAAATTTAAAAATAAACAAAAATCTGATTCTACAAATGGACATGCTTTTGTTGCACATAGTACCGTGATAACTAAAGAGGACTGGATAATAGATTCTGGTGCGTCACACCATATTACTTCACATAGAGAGTATTTTGCTTCATATGAACAATTTGATAACCCAATTCCAGTTTATCTCGGAGATGGTAGTCAAATGATGGCTGTAGGATTTGGCATCATAGACATAAAAATGTTGGTTAATGGAAAATGGGAGAAAGGTCATTTAAAAGATGCTTGGTTTGTTCCTACCTGTAAACAGAATTTATTCTCTTCAGGGTCAGCTTTAAAAAATAATTTAATTGAAATAGGTGATAAAAATAAAAGAATATTTAAAAATGGCAATAACATAAAAGCAGTTGCAATAAGAAATAAGGGAAATATGTACAGATTGGAGATGAGGGTGATATTACCTGAAAATTATTGTATGCTTAGTAGTCATACGGCAGACTTAAATATCTGGCATGAACGCCTATGTCACCAGAATATTAGACATGTTGAAAAATTCTTAAAACTGAATAATATTCCATTCCAGCCAGCAGAAAAAATTGTTTGCGATGGGTGCATGTTTGGTAAAATGTCTCGCTTGCCTTTTCATACAAGAAATATCAGAGCACAGGTACCAGGACAAATTATTCATGCTGATGTCTGTGGCCCCATTGCTGAAGTATCTGTTGGAGGTAGTAGATATTGTATTGCATTCAAAGACGATTACTCCAAATACAGAAAAGTATATTTTATAAAAGAAAAGACAGCAGTTTCAGAAGTAACAAAGAACTTTATTTTGGAAGCTAAGACAATAGGTCATACAATAAAAGAATTAATAACTGATGGAGGTAAAGAATTTATAAACAAGGAAATGCAAGCCATATTGTCATCATTTGGAATTAATCATCGCATGACCATTCCATATAGCCCACAGCAGAATGGAGCTGCGGAGCGTGAAAACAGAATATTAATGGAAGCAGCTCGGAGTATGCTACATGCAAATAATTTTGATAAGCAGCTATGGGCAGAAGCTGTTAACACTGCTGCATATGTTCTGAATAGGACTGGTCCAACAGGTGTTGATGACTCATCTACACCATACAGTTTATGGTTTGGCAAAAAAGCTGATATAAGTCATCTGAAGATATTTGGCACAAAATGTTTTATTCATGTACCTGACCAAAAGCGCAGAAAGCTAGATAAAAAGGCAATAAAGGGAAACTTAGTTGGATATTGTGGAGACAAAGATGGGTATAGAATATGGACAGAGGACAGAAAGATAGTTTTATCTAGAGATGTTAAATTCCTACCAGAACAAGTATGTGTTGATATTTTTAAACAGGATTTAACAGAGCAGCAGTCTAAACATCAGAAGGAATCTTCGAAAAATCATGATTTTGTGATATCCTTAATTCCTGATGCTGATGAAGTCAACAGCAGCAAAGTTCAGAAAGTGACAAGAGGACATGCATCATCGTCTATGGCCCCAAGGGCTGTCACCGCTGATCCAGCTCAAGCATGTGACCAGGTTCCAAGTTCAGGTAAAGATTTTATACATAATTCATGTGATAGTGATCCTGTGTTCTTAGACTGTGATAATTTATCAGAAAGTGAAAGTGAGTCAGTGATAAATGTGGATCCATTGTGTAGTGGTAACAGTAATGGAAATGTCGAAAGTGAAAATTCTCAACGATATCCATTGCGTAATAGAAAGATAAAGGAGTTTCCAGACTATCATGTGTATATGTGCATGGAATCTGATGATGAATGTTTACATTTTGATGATTTTGATAATTTACCAGCTTGTTGGAAAGATGCTATTAATGCTGAACTTTCATCATTGGATATTAATAATACTTGGTCTATTGTAGATTTACCAAAGGGTGTAACCCCTATAGATAGCAAATGGGTATTTAAAATAAAGAAAGACAGTGACAACAATATTGTCAAATATAAGGCTAGGTTAGTTGCACGTGGGTATAATCAAAGATTTGGTATTGATTATCATGATACATATTCACCAGTTGTTCGTTCTAGTGCACTTAGAATTCTTTTTCTTTGGCAATTCAGTTTGATTGGTTTATAGACCATTGGGATGTTGTTACTGCTTTTCTTCATGGAACATTAAATGAAGATGTTTTTATGTATATGCCAAAGGGCTTGTTAATTGATAAAGGTAAAAATGATAATGTGCCTAAGGTATGCAAACTAAACAAAGCTATGTATGGACTGAAGCAGGCAGCCTCAAGTTGGAATAAAGAGTTGCATAATGCTTTGATTAATATTGGTTTTAAGCAGTCTGTTCATGAACCATGTATTTATATTCTCAAACAAGATAACCTTTATTTAATTTTAGCAATTTATGTGGATGACATTTTTGCATTTGGTAATAATCAAAAGAAAAAGCATGATATATTTTCTCTACTAGATAGTAAATTTAAATTAAAGAATTTAGGTCCCATAGAACATGCCCTAAGTTTGAGAATAAGAAGAGTAGGTTCAGAATTAATTGTTGATCAGAAAAGGTATATAGAAAATATATTAAGTGTGTATGGAATGCAAGATTGCAAACCTGTAAATTCACCAATTCTACCAGGTTTGAGGATGAGTAAAAGTGACACCGTTGATCCAAAAATTCCATATCAAAATTTAATTGGAAGCTTGATGTATATTGCTCTAAATACCAGACCAGACATATTACATGCAGTTTGTGTATTATCTCAATATAATAATTGTTATACAAAAGAACATTTTGTACAGGTAAAAAGGATTGTAAGGTATCTGAAAGGTACAATTAATTATTGTTTAGTATATAAGAAGTCAAAGAACTTCAGTTTATATGGATATGTTGATGCCGATTGGGCAAATTCAGAAGACAGGAGATCATATTCCGGATTAGTGTTTAAACTTGGTGATAATCTTATTGCCTTTGAAAGTAAAAAGCAAACTTGTGTTTCATTATCATCAACTGAAGCGGAATATGTTGCCCTGGCTCAGGGTGCCAAGGAGGCTATTTTCTTAAAGAATATTATTAAAGAACTATATGTAGAGATGATAGATAAACCTATTATTTTGTATAATGACAACCAGTCATGTCATAAGATAGCTGCTAACAAGGTAAATAGTAATAGGACTAAGCACATAGACATTAAATTTCATTTTATTAGAGAAGCAGTTGAGAGTAACAAAATAGAGATTAAGTATTTGTCTACTCAGTGTATGGTGGCTGATATGTTCACCAAGCCTCTGAGTTCTGTAAAAATAAGTAATTTTATGAAAGATATTTCACTGTATCAGAAATTATAAGTTTATTTTTTGTATTGTGCTGTTTGTGCTTATGGTATTTTTTTTTATGTTTGAAACAAAGTTTGGTTTGAGGGGTAGTGTTGAAGTATAGTTTATTGTGAACTTTATATAGCAACCCTAACTTTGTTTATGGTATTATAAAATAAAAAA